AACAATTGTAATCATGCAGGGCCTGGTCCCGATCTTTAATCAGGTGCATGACTTTTCGTCCCCATGGCTTCAACACAGAGCACTAGGTAGCATGCATTTTTTGACCAAGCATTAACGAACACTCAGTAGGTCATAATCTTAAACTGGCATTTATTTACGGAAAAAATAAACTTGGAACATCACCCTCAATAGAAGGAACCCAATGATATAATGCTACAAGAAAGTGAATATTCTCCCCCATATAATTCTTTTAGCACAGTTGAGTGTATGACTCTTCTCAAATTAACTCCACACCATTGAGCATGAACTATTCATGCGAGTTGTTGATTCTCCCCATATTTTGACTTGGGGACACATGAGCGTTCATAGCTAAGGGTTGGTGATCACTCTGTACTTTGATGGGAGCATTAGATTTGCCCATTATTTTTATACCCAATGATTGAAGTTATTATATCATCCCTTCCCAACAACTCTTATAGAATAAATTAAGGAATACAATATATATATGTAATAAAAAATAATAGAAAAGAATATCAACTGAAGGAGGGCTTATGTCGTTTGTAAATTTATGCTCCCTAGATATTTAACAGTAGTGCATGGGTAAGCTTATTTCGAAAATGAAATTAATTCAATTGAAAGGGAAGATCATTAGAGTGGCTGCTTCAATATTGTCTTGGGACATGATTTCAAAGATTTGAGGAAATGAATCTTAATAACAAACGATTGATACCATATTCAATTGAAAACATTGAAAAAAAAAAAATAGGTATATGAGAAGCTTTCAATCAACCTATCAATTGTTTTTTAGATTTATGAACTTTCTTTTTATCATATTAGTAATTTGAAAATTGATAATGCCTTGAAAATCACTGAGTTATCATAGCATGAATTTACAGTTAAAACGTGCAAATACATTAATTTTAAGGGGTTGTTAATTGAGGGAAATAAATTCACCCTCACTTCCCTACTAGCCCCGAGTCTGTGACACCATTACCATTATGTTCATAAAGGTCGATACCATTAATAATATGATGCAAACAGACTATATATAATCTTTAAGAGATTGGTAGATATAGAGGAATTCGACATACTAGACCGAATGAACAAGTAGATTGAAGAGACTTACATTCCCCACGGTGGTCTTTAACAATAAAAGATTCGGTCATGGCTTCTCTTACAATAACTCCATGACTAGTCCCTTGAACCACTCTTGCACCAAGCCTGAATCTTCTGCTCCTAATCCAGCTCGAATTGTCGGTAAATTCAATATCCCCAACAAGAGCAAACCCGTCTCTCAAGGACACATTCAAGTCTCCGGTAAGCAAAGGCGGCTTTCCGGCCCTTTCCTTCACAATATTCCGATCAAATTCATCCCGGGTCCATGTCTGGTGATCTGCAGGAGGGAAGTCCCCGTCTAAAACAACAACCTCAACTTTGATTGGAAACGAAAGAGTTGTTGGAAGCATTTGATCGCCTCTTGTGTCAGCAAGAAGGATTTTAAGAGGGTTGTTTTCGGTGTCGAGAATTTTGGTTCGGGAAAAGATTGGTGGGGAAAGTTTTCCACTAAATACCAGTTGTAGGGTTGAGGGTTCAAGTGCTCGGATTCGCAAAGAAGGAGACCTAGTCAAAGATCGTGTTCTTAGTCTGATTACACGTTCCGCCTCTTCATTCACCTGAATTAGAAAACAAAATATTAAAGTGAGAACGCGACAGGAGAAAAGAAAGAAAATGAAACAACTCATAGTCTTTTAATTTATTGCTTTTGATGCGTTTTAGTTAGAATTTAGGGTTTGGATTTTCGTTTACAATGAACTTTCGTATAATAAAAAGAATAGTAATAATAAAAATATAATTCAAGAAATGTCAAAAAATTCTCAAGTCGCACTCTATGAAACTGTCATGTTTTGATTTTATGCTGTCTTAAGTTTCATTTACTTTTCTTCCACTTTTCTGTTTAGCCTCCCTTCACCAAGATCAAGGACTCCTTAGACTGATCATTAGACTCCAAATTGGATTGCCCTTTTTTGGGCTCTAACGTAATTGAATCCATAGACTCCAAACTCTTTTTGAAAATTGTTTATCGAGATGCATAATTCGTGTTCAAAATTGTGTTTCCGGGAGAATTTTTCTAAACACAGGTGGTGCAAAGTGATTTATGTAAGAATGACTTGCGCGGCTGTGACATGAGAGTTATAGATCAGTCATCATACCACTCTTCGTACCATTGGCTCCAGTGTTGAACATAATTTCTCTACCAAATTCACCTTAACCACTTCCCTGATAACACTGCCGAGAGAGAGAGAGAGAATAATTAGTTTCTGAAAGAAACTTGAACCTACAGTAGGCTCATGGCCCAAATAGAGAAGATGGAGGAGTAAACATCAAGGGCTGGGTTATGAAAACCTACGACGCAAAACAAGGTTTAGTTCCGGTCCGTTTCTGATTCGGCTGATCTGGGTCAGGACCAGATTCATCGGAAAACCTTTCGGCTGCCATTCTTTGAAGAATAATGCAAGATATAGTATAACAGAATAAACTGTTGTGTATAAGTGTGTGTGTGTGTGAGAGAGAGAGAGAGAGAGAGAGAGAGAGAGAGAAGTGTTGGAAACTTGAACAAAGGGTTAGGATACTTCAGCTACGATCTTCCCTCTTGTGGTAAATATAAGAACGGAGAAGTTTCTTGGAATGGTGGTGGAACCAGCGAGGCGGGAGAGTTAAGAAGTAACCTACGCGCCGTATCTAGGAGAGACAGTATCAATGATCAATTTATAATTTTATACTAAATTTATAATTTTTTGCCGTAGAAATTATACGTGTAAAAATATGATCAATTTTAAGATTTATAATTGGTGATGCCTCAAAAAAAATCTTAAACGTCAACTCAGAAGGTCAGTTCAACTCAAGAAGTCAGATTAGACGAACAGAAGTCGGAAGAGTAGAACTGGAAGTCCCTTCGAGATAAGCAAGGGCAATAACAATCAAGACAACTGCTGCAAGATCACGAGAGGTTCCTAAAAGTGTTAGGAAGCAATAATCAAGGCACCTAATCTCAACCAACCAAGATCTTCTCCTATAATCAAAGAGAACCCCACGAAATAAGGGTAAGAATCTCGGCTAAAATCCGACTAAATAGGGAACAGCCCTATAAATACTATGTAACGCCCCCAAGAAACGGGGGGAACCCTAGAGGCAAAAATTAGTCATTGTACTCTTACAATCATCATTATTGAAAAACAAGGAGCAAGAGTCTCCATTAAAGAGTAGAGTAGCCGAGCCCTCGAGCTAGTGAACCACTATATTCCTACCGTGTTTATTCCTCAACTCCCCGACAATTCTCAGTATCATTCACTCGAGTCTAGTAGTTCAAATCCCAACAATTCCAATAGTATTTCTTTCATTTACTCGTCATTACAAATTTGCATCACGTTGAAATACACCATCAATAATTGATCGTAGAAGTTATATATATTAGAGTAAAATAAAATTTTGGTATAACTATGTGTTTTGTGGTAATTTGATATTCAATCTTTTAATTGTGTTAATTTGATCAATCAATTTTTTAATTTGCATCACTTTGATCCAATTAAACACGACAGATGTAATTTAGTAATAGAGATTCTCACCTCCTCTCACGTGATCACAATTGAGGCCTATTCTTTATAAACTTTAGGGATTAAAAAGATAAAAACTATATAAATTTGAAAGATCAATATAACACAAATTACAAATTTTAGGGATCAAAAAGATCCCTCAAGTGTCTTCACGTGAACATCTCTATTAGTCAATTTACAATATAGTTTTCGATTGGACCAAAGTGTCATAAATTGAATTTTTTTTTTTTGTCAGACACTTTGAGAAATTGGGAAATTAAATTGACACAATTCAAATATTGCAGACCAAAATGACACAAACGCATACTTAAAGCACTACCAATGTATTTTACCCAGTAAAATTATAATTTTTAAAAGTTAACTTACTTTTTTTGGAATAACATGTTCTTGTTGATTAATAAGTTCTTATCCACCCCTTTAAAAATTACTCTTTTTTGGAGGTGGTATTTAGACTTGGACTTATTAATCTTCTTGGCCTATTATGATTGCAATATATATAAAATTGGATAAAATTTGTTAAACTTGCGTGTATTTTTAAAAATAAAAGCATCTTTTAAAATTATTATGTATGTAAAGACCTTGAGGTCAACCTGCTCTGAAGTCTCCTCTCTCACACGCACAAAACTACACATACCACCCACACACAGCACAGACAAATGACACGCTACTGCCCAAAAAAATAATTGCGATGCTACAAGGACTACCAAGGTACAAAGGTACCAAGACTATTTTTCTATCAAGGCAACAGATGAATCGTGAATTAATTGTCCAAACGCCAGTATTCTAACTACCAGTATTTTAAATTTTCTTTATTTAAATATTATAAAATTTAAATTTTCGTTACCAAATTATCATCATTTTTAAATTATCATCATTTTTTTTTCAAAGCATCGATATTTTCACAAACAATTTTAATAGTATGATATTGGGTATATAAATTTCAAAACAATAGTAGTTGGATAATTAATTCGTGAATGATCATCTCTATTGTTTATTTTAGGGTATATGACCACAGCCACCAACCCATTGCCTACTGTTGGTAGTGTGGGTATGAATGGTAGATAGAAAATTATAAAAGAAAATAGCTTCAAGGCACATGTACAGAAACGTTCTTTACATTATAAATTGTGCCCACTCATTCGAGTTTACTAATGGGTTACATACGAAATTGTTTGCAAGAATTTATGATATGAAGAGTTGCAATTAGCAATATTGAAAAAATTCTAAAGAAATCTTCTTGAACTGTTTTTCATTCTAAAAAAGAGAAAGATGGAAGAAAAGAGATACGTTATATAAAACTCTAGTATGTTTGTAAATGAAGTCTAGAGTTCTATTTATAAATTTCTTGGTGTTTTTCTCCAAAAGTCACAACCGACCGATTACACGTCTTTTCTTAAAAATCATGACTTTTCTATGGTCACAACTTTTCAAATTATAACTTTTTGTAAAATTCACAACTACTCAAAATAATTCAATTATTCAATCAAACTATAAATAAAGTGTCAAAAATCCCCCACTTTGATTATATAATTATGAACATTTCTCAATCAGAATATACATCCCAATTTAACTATAAAAAGGTTTTTTCAACTTAAGCATTTCAATTAGTACAAGCACATCCATGTTTTATAAAAGTTATTGATTGCCTTAGCATTAAATCAAGTACTTTATGGGACAAAACCCAAAATACCATACACAAACTGATATCCTCTTCATATAAATGTCAACATACTTTGCTTAACATTATTATGGTCATATGTTACGTCTAGGTTTCATGAACAATCCAAAGAGCAAACATGTGTTGGAACAGCAATCTCAAAGTTCATTGATGGCATGTATAATTAATTACAAAAATTTTACTTGTCTATTAACCCTATAAGACGGAATTAGTATTTACCTTTGACAAGCAGAACAACACAAACAAGAATGAAAAAAATTGAATAGTAGCTCGATGAACCTCATGATCTTCTACTGTATGTGTAATGCCCCCAAAACCCCCGTGGGTGACATTACATTTTAAAAACCATTTACCGTATGAGAGCATTAAGTAAAATTCAACACGACGAAAGTTTCATTCATCAACCATTCATATTTTAACAAAATTTGGGCAGAGTCTCCTTTGTACGGGGAGCTCTACCCAAAACACAACCTGTACAATTATATTACAATTGACCACACCGGGTCCACATATGCATAACTATTGACCACACCGGGTCCATTTTTCCATCATAAAATAAACTTGCATTCATCATATGTCATATCCACACTATCATCCCAAATTAATAGGTCTAATCTTGGCCTTTACATCTCCAAAATGTAATAATATAACGCAGCGGAAATAACAGAAATGAACTAGAGTTCAAAAGGATATTCTAAGCATAATCTAGTCTAGAACAAAATAAAAGTGTCGCTCTAAGCGTCCACCTCGGGATCCACATCCCCGTCAAGCGGAGTCTTCCAATGGGTGGGCTCCTCGGCTCCTAACTCCTCCTCAAGTGTGAAATCTGAAAAAATTTTATTTGTAGGGGGTGAGCACGAAGCTCTGTAGCAAAATCCTCTCAACTCAAACAAGGTTTGAAAAACATAGCAAACGGTCGGTCTCATTTCACAACTAACATATATATAGGTTTGGAATGAAAACAGTGACATTTTAAAAGAGATCTCAAGTTTAAACAATAGCAATAATCAGTTAAAAGAATAAAGTGAGTTTAGCATCGATAAACAAAATTCTAATTTAAGCTATTTAAGAAGGGCTTCTCCCTAAGCATTGTCCCATACCAATGCATCGGCAAGAACGACCCAACTCCCGATTCCATGTATTTTTGGTTCATCCCCGTACCATGTATGTTGATTGCTTCTCGTGAATCTACCTAACGATCATGCCTAGTCCACCAATTCCAACCAACAATCACAAATCTCTTTAGGAAGGGCGTGTACCGTCTCCTACGGCATTGACGAAATCCTCCCAAGGTGTCTAGTATACTAACCCTTTTCCTCGGTGTATATGTGAACAATAGTGATCGCGAGCACAACAACGATCCACTACGAGCATTAGGCAACCATCTCACCCCCCATTGGGATAGACTAACCTCTAACACTCTACGGCATCTCTCGAAGGTAATCCAAGTCCATCACAACAACCATACAATGAGGAAATCAAGAATATTCACAATTCACAACAATTTCCCAAATATAGTAAAATCCCCAATTTTGTTTTCACATTTGTCATATAATCGAATAATCCAAGAAAATATGCAAGAGATCGTAATCTATATCATTTTGTTATACAATATTCAACACTAAAGTTTTAAAATCAAAGACAAAGAAGAAATTAGGAGAAAATCCCCTTTTCTTGAAAACTAGGGCTTTGAAGATAAAAAAAAAAAAAAATAGAGCTTTGGTGGTTACCCACCCTTCATATTGTTCAAAACATGGCATTTATTACAAATAGAACAAGAATCATGTATTTCATATTATATATATGAGAAGGAGAGTGAAGAAACATATATCTATATACATATATATATCTATATATATATATCTAGCCTCAATGTGAGAGATTGAGAGAAAATCCCCTACCTTAAATCAAGATTCCAAGCTAAGACCCAAGCTTCAAGACCTTCTTGCTCTCCTTTCTTTTCCTCTTAATCTTCTCCTCCTAGGGTTTCAAAAGATTTGGGTGAGAGGGTAGCAAGAATGGAAGAAAATGGGAGGAGAATGTATTCTTGAAGAATTTGAAGTTTTGATTTCTACAAGGTATAAATCCCTCTTGATTGGTATTTCTATCTTCCTCTCTTCCTCTAAAATGGTTCCTAGGGTTTGGAGGGGTGAAATGAATGCTAAAGGGACGACATTAGGTTTTTATAGGGCAAGAAAATCGAGCAAAACCCGATATTTTCTGTTCAGAAAAAATCGGGTTTCCTTCGTACTGTTCACAGATTTTTGGTGCGACTTCCAGGTCAGTTTTGACCCATTTAGAGGTCGAATTGGAAA